GGGGGGGGGTGAGTGTGGGTGTGGGTGTAGGGTACAGTAGGTGTTTGGGGTCGCTGGGTGAGGGCAGCAAAAGTGAGTAAGCCCTGTAAGAAGGGGCGTGTGCGGGGGGTGAAGCTTCCGCCCTACTCGTACCTAATTTACCTATGCCTGGGAAACCTCAGCGGGAAAAAAGATGTACTCGTAGCTCCTAAATTTACTCGCGAGAAATCGTCTAAAAACATCTCAACTCCGACTTCTTAAGATTACTTTCTAAAAACAAGAATCATATATTTGATTACATCTAGATCTGTTCATCTAGGTATACTTACTATACATAAGTCGATAGACTTCCTTCACCAAAGATATAAAATCTGTCAAGTGAATAAAAAGTAGAAAAATCTAAAAGATATAAGCTTTTCCAGAGAGGTATATATAGCTTCCATGACAATTATCTATGCAGAGGCACATCTGCAATTAATAGAACAACCTTTTCAGCTCATCATAACGTGCAAAGTGCTCTCTCTCTCCATAACGCTCTATCAATACAATGCTGCTATAAAATACAGGCCAATGTATCTCCTCTTCGCCCCAACGCCAAACTCCTGTCCATGTATATCCCATTAATCATCCTCCATTGGCATTTCGTCGTCAATATACCGAATCAAAGTTATCCTCATCTCAGTGGAGTCATTTCCTCTCAAGATATCACTGATAAAGTGCGCCTCAACCTGCATCTGAGCCATTTCCAGAGCACCCCGCAATACACCACAGAAGATGTTGGAATACCACAATTCGTCTTGGGCGCGTCCATCATCAGGCAATTCCACAAAATCGGCCAAGGGGTTCTCGTCGAAGATCAAGGAGAACTGTTTGCTATCGCTCGTCCAATTCGTAATCGTCGGAGTAATGTTGAGAAAGATCTTGAAGCCGACCTGAATTCCATCAGCATAAACCTTCTGGATAGATTGTTCCTTAAGCAACCTTAGAGATCATATCCGCCGTTTCCTTGAAATTGGTGCATCTCCTCATCGTGTTTGACTTTGCCAGGTAATCCTCAATCAATCGCAGACCAATGTTGTACCCCATCTTCTCGAGCTGCTTATTGACCTCAACATAATCGCTCTCGTAGTCTTTGCATAGTTGCGCCACGATAGTACCGTATGTGAGAGTGACCAACTCGGCATTGACTTTGTCAACTCGACTTCTGTATACCATGAGTTATAAGGCTATGGATTGCGGGATGCGGGACCGGATACTAACTTCCAGACTCTATACCACGTTAGCTTTGATCGCGCAAAATTGAGGGCTAGAGCCTACTCTTCTCCTATCCGTGCAGCTTTACTTGCGGAAGCCATGATTTTATTTGGTGTTGGAAGTGCGTTGGTTGCTTGTTGACTTGAAGTACTGGAATGGTGAAGAGGTGCATTGCCCGTATGCGCCCCGCTAGCGAGATTCTGCCGCCTCGTCTTTGGATGGACGATCAGGTAGAGTATCGCGCATTATTTTCCAGCAACCCCCTCAAAAAACACCCACCAAAAGACAATCCCGACAGCTTTCGATGATGGCCGCAGAAAAACGCGCGCGCGCCGAATCGGGCGATTTCGGTTCTTCGCAGATGGTGGTGTCCAAGAGGCCCAACCTAGGAGGAGAGAGCAAGGCTGTGGCTAGAGTCAATGGATCTGGCGGGAATGGGGCACTCATTCAAGCGGTATGCTAGCCTAGCAAATACATAGTACTCAAGCTGAATGCTAAGCTTCATTGAAAGGCGCTGGACTGATCAAAATGGGAATAGGGACCAAGAACGACTGCGCTTCAAGCTCCGGTGATGGAATTGAGTGGCCATACGGGCGAGGTCTTTTGCGCAAAGTTCGACCCCAATGGGAATTATATTGCTTCAGGATCTATGGACAGAACGATTTGTAGGCTTTTATTCACTCGACGACCATGAGAATGGATTCTAATAGCAATAGTGCTTTGGCGAACCTTTGGCGCATGCGAAAACTACGGTGTCTTGACAGGTCACAAGGGCGCGGTACTAGATTTACATTGGTCGCGAGACTCGAGGGTATTATTTTCAGCATCAGCGGATATGCACCTGGCTAGCTGGGACTTGGAAAGTGGAACGAGAATAAGAAGGCATGTAGGCCACGAGGAAGTTATCAACACCATGGATATCAGCAAGCGTGGAGAGGAACTTTTGATCAGTGGTTCGGATGATGGATATATTGGAATTTGGGATCCTCGGACGAAAGCTGCCGTTGATTTTCTGGAGTCGGAATTCCCAGTCACAGCAGTGGCCCTGGCTGAAGCTGGAAACGAGATATATTCAGGCGGGATTGACAACGATATTAAAGTATGGGATGTGAGGAAAAAGGCAGTGGTATATTCCATGCTGGGACACACCGATACCGTCACATCTTTACGAGTCTCGCCTGATTCACAATCACTGCTTTCCAACTCCATGGACTCTACAGTTCGAACATGGGATATTCGACCTTTTGCGCCAACCGAAAGACGTATTCGAACGTTTGATGGAGCCCCATCCGGAATGGAAAAGAATCTCATTAAAGCCAGCTGGGATCATGACGGAAAGAAGATTGCGGCTGGTGCTGGAGACGGAACTGCAGTTGTTTGGAATAGTCAGACGGGCAAGATGCTATACAAATTGCCGGGGCACAGGGGGACTGTCAATTGTGCAGAACTCTCTCCATCATCGGATCCGATTAGTAAGTATTTCCGGTCTGGCCCTTGGAGTTTCGGCTAACACACTCCAGTTCTTACCGGTTCCTCTGACCGAAATCTATTGCTGGGGGAGCTCAAGTGATAGCCTTCTTTTGTGATGATTATTTTACTTCCTCCGCGAATCAAGCTTGAGAAGTTAGAGAGGACCAGGGTAATGTGCATATTTCCCAGTATCTTACTCCCAATAGACGGAGTGAAGGGCGGAAGTAAAGTAAAGGCGTTTACATCGGAATCTCTTGCAAGTAACCAGAGTTACTTTCTCCTTCTAATCAAAAGAAGTCCACCGAGATATCCCACAATAACACAGGTACTCTTACTTCCGAGCCGGGGACTTATTACTTGTACTTAAGCTTGGTAGTTATCCCGATGAACAATTCATCTGTAGTAAGGCTACGGTAGCTGCTAGTTTAGGTAGATAGATAAAGTATGTATGATTATATAATTCAGGAGCAAAAATGGTTCTCGTTTATATAGATACTACTCTTTTTTTCAATCTATAACTTCTCTTATCTTACCTAGTAAAGATCCTTAGACCCCGAGTGGTATTTCTAATGTATAATATATAAATAGAAATCTACCTACTCCTTCCTTCCTTCTGTATATTATCTATTAAAAACAAATACGAGTACTCGTACGCTGTAAGAGATCATCCTCCCTACATATATTGGATCTAGAGTGCCTGAGATCTAGGGAGGAATAAAGTCCCTGATGCCCCCAAAAATACCCCAGGAGGCTTACTCCTTACTCCTTATATTACTCCTAGAGCAAAAAAAGGAGCAAAGAGCATGTAGGAATAGGATGGATGGGATGGGATAGGATGGACGTGGTATTTGTCTCCCTACATACATATATATACATACACAAACACAAACACACATATCATATTATCAATCCAAAATCCAAAATCCAAAACCCAAAATACCTCCCTCCGGTCCAAGTCCACAATACCATCCCCCTCTACCCATCTCCTCCCCTTCAAAGTCGCATGGCAACCAAATCACGCATGGCAAACACGCACACCCACCCACACCCACGCATCTCGCTGTCGCACTCGGGACTTCTCTCTGCACGTCAGCACGTCTACGGATCATTACCAGAACCGGAACTAGAACCAGAAATAACGAAGCGACGAAGTAAAGTGACTAAAAAGGAAGTTGAAGAACCCTGGTTTTTTTTACTCGAGTTGGTTGGTTAAGGGCTTGGGGGTGGTGGGATGGTGTAAGCGGGTTTGTGGCACGTACTATATGTATTTATGTAGGAGGAACGTGGAATGGCGTAGCGTGGCTTCAAGTATATTTTCGGTTATCGAACTGGTTTTAGGGGGTTTTGGTATGTGTCTGTATTTGTTTCGTTCGATAGATTGGTGGATGTGTTGTGGGGTTTGGATTTCCATGTACTCGTATATATTCTGGGGGATTTTTGGTGGAGCGGGGTTGTTTGTTTAAGTGACAGTGTGAGAGAGAGGGAGAGAGAGAGAGATTTGTTGGGTGTGGTGGGTGCGAGATGGATATAGATGTGAGTTTGTGATGTTATAATATTAGATATTATAATGGGGGAAGAGGAGGGAGAGGTAGGTTATCAGATTCCGGTGCAGTATGTAACTAGTATTGTAGTATAGGATAAAACATGATATGATATGATATGACTAAGATAATCTTTCTACAGAATGCCCCCTTTTTTAGAATATTAAAAATCTTCAGCACTTAAAAACTAGTTCATAGTCCGGAATCTATCTACAACCCACCAACTCATTCACCGATGTAGTATCTGAAGAAATCCTTCAAAAAAACAGAAGATGGATTCCCATCTCCACACTCACAGGAATTACATCGCTGGTCCGTATGGTTAACTGATATGAAATCTTCCACCAATCAAAAGTTCCTTACTTACTTATTTACCTTACTCGTAGCGTACTTAATCCCGATCTAACCTAGACTAGCCAGAGAGAAAATATAAATAGAGTAGAACATTCTACTGCATACTGTTACGGTACAGTAGTATATTCCCAAACAACGCAGTCATCCTGCCTGTCTGTTTGTTACGCTGCGCAAAGAAAATTCTCCGATGTATGTACGGTAACGTACTTCATAAGGAGTCCGGATTTATAAGCAGTCCGGATTTTTTACCCCACCATCCAACTTTTAAAAATCATAGAACTTTAATCACTTAATATTTATTTATATAAACTATACTATCTTTCTTATTCTCGATCTGGGCACCTAGGAGCAGTATGCGCTAGTGATCTACATATACTACAGGTTCGTGGTGCACGAATTCGTGGTTCAATTAGCGGGGCCACAGCTTCATCCAAAACCATATTATCACTATTTTGAATAAGTTCCCTCCCTTCCTGACCTGTAAGAACACCCCCAGTAGCAATATATTGACGTCGCACAGTCTTCTTCTTCTTTTGACGTTCAGATTCAGCTCGTAAACGTCGATTTTCCTCTGCCAAAACCGTAGCTGATTGCATAGCCATCTTACACCCTTTAACCAATTGATCTAATGCAATAGCAGTAGGGCTTGAGAGAACGTTTGTACGTCGTTTAATAGATGCTTTAATTGTCTGGGTTTGCTGATCTGCCTCATATGTATTATGGGGTGTCTCAGGGACCCAAGGTAGTAGGTTTGGAGAAAGTAAAGGAGGAGTAGGCGTATGTAATTGAGTATGTAATTTACTCAATACTTGATCTGGGTTGTACGGGACAAGGCCAGTAGTTGCGAATCCATTACAGATTGTGTTTTTGACCATAGTACTTGTACGGGCTACACGATATATTGAAAGGAAGTCTGGTTTATCGATATGATATGTGCCGGCTCGTACTAGCTCCTCGACTCCTCGTCCATAAAGTCGCTTTAAAACTGCAAAGCAACTAACATCTAATGGCTGTAAAAGATGAGATGAGTGCGGTGGCATACAAAGCGTTATGATGTTATGTTCTGAACAGAAAAGATCGAATTCGGGAGTAGAATGACTACCATGGCCATCGAGGATTAAAAGTCGATATACTCCTTTTACACGGTCCTTGGTATATTTCTCAAATACGTCTGAAAGCCACTTAAGACCTAAGGAATCATTGGTCCACCCTTTATCACTAAGTGCAATTGTCCAATCTGCTGGTAATTGATCTGTATACCAAGTCGATATATGCACCTTGCCCTCAAATATAACCATTGGAGGCAACACCCATCCATCTGCACAAATTGATTCGACAACTGTAACCCATTCGCGATTCCCTGGTTGTATATGAATAGCCCGTCCTGTATATTCTGACCCTGTAACAACTTTTGCGGTCGCAATTACTCCCATCTGAAAGCCAGTCTCGTCGAAATTGTATATATCCTCCGCTAGTATACCATATTTCGCAACAATATTATGTACTAATCGAAACCAATCTCGGATAATCGTAGGATCCTCGCATTTTGCGCGCTTATAGTCGTATTTACGAGTGTATTTCGTCCGTAAAGAGTCGTGGCGCTTTATAAAGTTGTCAACCCAGCATTTTCCGACAATAATTCGACCTACTCCAGTTCGCTTTTCCAGTAGTAAATCGGCCATTTGGCGTATCGAATCTTTCCGTACTGGCAGACCTCTAGCTTCCATTGATAACATCCATTGTATAAGTGCTGATTCCTCGAGGTCGGTGAGTTTCTGGTTTCGGGGTCGGAAATCGCGTTGTGGAATAGCTCCCTTGACGCGGTCGTAAGTAGTAGAATATGGCGCATCGTACCTTGAACAAGCTGCTTTTAAGCTTGTAAATTGACCCTTATTGTATGCACTGATTGCAAGAGCAATTTGACCTTCATTTCGAGACATTTGAACAATAATTGGGTAAGTTATGTAGATTGAAAGTGTGTAGGGTGGTCAATGGTGGGGTAAAAAATCCGGACTGCTTATAAATCCGGACTCCTTATGAAGTACGTTATGTATGTATGTATGTAGTAAGCAATAAATACCCATCCCCCCTCCATTACCATTATCACCATCACCCTATCATTGTCATAAAAAAATCCCAAAGAAAGATATTCCCCCCTTATCACCCATCCCCCTCCTTTCATTCAAAAAAAGCAAAAATCAAAAATATAAGAAAACGGCAAGTACGGTATCCCTACCAACCACGCACACCCGACCCGATTCCGTGCCTCTGATATACATACCACCAATACCTATTCAGTAGATTAGATTACCTTTCGGACCGATTTTGTATTATGTGTGTATGTGTATGTGTGTATGTATGTCTGTGGTATCGCTGACGCACATGGTATGGGAGGGACGGATATGTTGGGTTGGATTCCGCGGATCCTACGTTCTGCGTTCTGCAGTGAGGGATGGAGGTGGGTTTTCGGGATTGAGGGGAATGGCGTGGGACGGTGTGGTGTTCTGGAATAGAAATAGAATGAACAGATGGGGTTTTTTTGTGTGGATGGAGGGGGGTGTGAGGGAGAGAGGGGTTGGGGGCTAAATGTAATGCTATGGTATGCTTGTGAGGTAGGTAGGTAAGCCGAGGTTTGGTGGTACTACAGTGTAGGAGGGGGATGATTGGAGAGTGTTTGCCTTTTTTTTTGGAATTGTGGAATTCTAATATTTAACGGTAATTGACTGAGATACCCTTATATATATTATAAATACCTGAGATACCCCTAAAATAATTCGCTTATGACTAAGATGCCCCTTAAATTATACCCCTTAAATTCAGGGGTATCTGGGTCGTAAAACAAGGGTATATTAGTCAATTTAAGTTAGGTTAGAAATCAGGATTCTCGCTATTTATTAGATTAATATAGTAATACAGGCCAAGAGTAATAAACAAAGTAAATTAGCAATCTAGTACTACTTACATACGACTTCGTAAACCAGTCCTCGTCGATTTTGGTAGTACTATAGTTGACTCTAATCCTTTCTTCCGCTTTTTATTCATAATTCCACTAAATTAGCCTTAATTGCAACAATTGCTTGTTCCTAAGCGATATCCTCGTCCTGAACAATACCCTCTCAAGCAACACCCACCTATGCGATATCCTCGTCCTATGCGATATCCTCGTCCTGAACAATACCCTCTTAAGCAACACCCACCTATGCGATATCCTCGTCCTATGCGATACCCTCGTCCTGAGTAGTATCAGTCTGAGTAGTGGCCCTAGCCCTAGCTCTAGGTAGGTATAGTACTTACACGTGTAAGTAATGCGGGGTTAAACTCCTAGGTGAATATAAATCTTAAGCCTAACTCACCTAAAAAACTACGATATTCTTCTAAAATTCACTACTAAATTCACCGAAAAGCCCCTGTTTTACGACCCAGATACCCCTGAATTCAAGGGGTACAATTTAAGGGGAATCTTAGTCATAAACGAATTATTTTAGGGGTATCTCAGGTATTTATAATATATATAAGGGTATCTCAGTCAATTACTGAATATTTAAATTTCTGAAGTGAGGTTTAGGGGAGTGAGCTCTGTACAAAAACTAAACTTGGTGTCTTTACTTGTAAAACTTAGATATTATTATAATAATATTTGCATACAGTACACATCCTCACGAACCGAGCCATCAATGTACAGTACATTCCTCGAAACGAGAATCCACGCCATCCCAATGAGAAAGAAACCCGAGGAAATGTATTCAAAGAAAATTTTCTAATTGGAGTGGAAGAGAAATCTTTCTAAATCTGAATCTGAGACAAACTCCTAGTTTGTGGTTGTTTCGTGGCTTTACGCCCTAGAGTTTAAATAGACTACTCCGTATCCTGGGATTTGGAAAAGGAAAAGGAAATATGTCTTGGAAGAGAAATGAGGCTGATATCGGATATGCTCGAGCTGAGGGGTAAGAGTAAGGTGAGGTTATATGTGTTATAGAATAGAGTACAGTACTTGTTATTGTTACCCCTAAGGTGAAGCGAGGAAGGGATGTGTGAGTTTTGATATGCAGTATGCGTGGACTTTTGACTTTTGTGAGAGACTAGGTTATTGGGTTGTATTATACAAACGTATGGTATAAGTGATTTACTTGTCTTTGTATAGTTGGGGTAGGAGAAAGTGAAAAGTAAGTATTCTTTTAGATTATTTATTACGCGTTTAGTTATACGAGCTTTTCAGAATAATATTATTCTAAGCTAGATATAGAGGAATCAACACGTATCTTATAGACTAATGTCAATGTATTATAAGCATAGTAGTAATCGGCCTCAGAGAAACCTAGGGTAAATTAGGATCGATATTAGGACATAAACATGCCTCGTCATAAGCCTGTATATATAATACTAACTTGTTAACCATGTCACGAATAATTTACTAACGTTCTAGTTTACCTTTCGAATGCGAGGGAATTCTTAATTACTTTTGTTATAAGAGTTCCTAGAGTTCTAAATGCCATATATCTGCGTTTTTCTCCCAATTGAACTAGCCCTTCTTATTGTGGAGGTCCAGGACGGGTGGTAATGTCTTTTGTCTAGGGCGTTGCGATATATTTACTGACTGCCGTTTTGATTGTCGCCAAGCTGTAAATTCTAGTTATTGAATAGACAAAGTAATGATCTTCATGAAGAAGAAGAAGAAGAAGCTTTCAACACAAATGAGAGGTGAATAGATATACATTTAATCTAATACTCTAATGACTTTGAAATTTCGTATATACGTAGCACCAATCGGAATAAGTATATCTACACATTCGGTGAAAAGTCTACAAATAGCTCGTAAGGACAGAAAGGAAATTACCAAGTTCGTGGCTGGTAAAAAGAGGACATGAATACAGAAGGATTGCGTACCTAGGTAATCTTACCGAGTAAGTAATAAGAACCTTCCCTTTTCGTTCTAAATTCCACGATTCGACAGACCAAGACTCAACGATAACTTCCAAGATAAGAAGTTGATACTTCGTAATAGGGATTAGTTTGAACCGATTGACTCGATTCCTACTCTCCTGAGTTCGGAGTCTTGGAAGATCCCGCGATTTCCCCCGAGCTTGACTTGAAGCAGTAAAAGACTCCCACCGCCGAGGACGTTGCCGGCGCAACAACACCACAACACCAACCTCCATAATTTTGCGGTCTCGCTCAACTTGGGTTGGTCAATGTCTGGCAATGCCTTGCCATCCATGCTTTGCCTATACCTCGGCCCACCAACACTCGTACTCCCGCCTGCCTTACAAGTGGAGTGCTTTAACCTTTCAACCTTCGCTTTCAGGCTGCTCCTCCGTCTCGACAGAATGTCGGTCACGCAATGCGCTGGCATTGGCATCGTGAAGGTCGTCGTTAAGTGTCGGTGTGGGAGGCTGAAGATGCGCCTTTCAACGACCAGACCTTTTCTCTGTTTTACGCCGCCTTTTGGGCATCTATATCTGCCCCTCTATTGACAACGTGGGGTGTTTTTTTCCCATCGTCAGTAGAAGTAGTAGTTACGTGGACGCAATGCGATCAGGCGATAAGATTGTCCATGCCGCCGTTTCCACTTTGAAATGCCCACGATGCCTTCACTCGGTTGCGTTACCGTATGGGTATGGAGATGGATCTGGAGATGGTTCGCGCGCGCAGGAATAACAATGCGAGCGGTCAAGCTATCAAATAACAAGCGTCTAACCTTAGCTGGGCTGGCAGATGCAGATCCAGCCAGATCCCACGCGCATGCCATCGAACGTCAGCAGCACGGCGAAGTGGGAGCGATGGAGCAATGGAGCAATGGAGTGATGGATTGATGGAGCACCGGGTCGGATCGTGTAGGTACAGGTACGTACATTGGCCCTGAAGGGTCATCCTCACCGACATGACATGACGATGCCTCTGCCCTGGAGTCTGGATCCCTTCAAGAGCTGTGCTGTGCTGTGGTCCGCAAATGGAAACGTCAACGAACATTTGCTCCTCATCCTCACGCATCACGCATCGCGCCTCACGCACAAATTGGAATTGGGATTTTCCGCGCGTTGCCTCTTTCTTTCCACGTCCCTGGTACCGAGAGCAAAACACTCCATAGCGCCCGTTTGAGGCTCAACTCCTGCTCATCACGTTTGATTCTCTCCCAATCACCTCAAGTGCCGTTCTCCGTAGCCAAATTCGTCTGTCCCGGCCCCTCCCATCGCTCCCGTCGACATCCACCTCCAATCTGCGAACACTCCTTTCTGGTGGAGAGATTGCCAAACGGTGAACCCGCCATGCCAGCACCAAATTTCACAACATGGCAGATCAGACTTGGGACCCACGACCCAGCGCGGATGCTCATCCGCGCGGAAGTCAGCCGGCGTCAGCCCCTGGTCCTTTCGTTGGAGGATGAACGACGAGAACCCCTCCGTGCTCAGATGTGCCGTGAGATTTCGACCCAGTGGGTAGCACGACATTGATGCGATCAGGGTTTGATTGGATGATACGCCTCCCGATCGGTATTGGGGCCCAGCCAAAAACGTGAACACCCCTCCTCCACCCCTGTTTCCGCCTGTTGTGCCCCGCCATCCTGCTCTCCGCTGCTCTGGCAGATGGGAGAGGCTTGGCTTCTTTGGGTTCGAATGAAAAATAGCCTCGTGTCTCAGCTGGGGGGGATGGGGCGGAGGGGGATAATGCGAATCCAAAAACGAGGGCTTTGGGCGATTTGGTTAGGGCATTGCCAACGGTTAGTCGAATCGTCCATCCTCGACCAGGAATAGGAGCAGGGGAACGTTATCACTGCTGGGGGCAGCTCGACAGGGCAGGGAGAAGACGTGGGATGAGCTGATTACGGAGTTGTACGGTCAAAAGTCTGAAAGGGGAACAATGCAAATGAAGCTGAGAAGGCCGATGGAACCTCATTTCGAAGTTTCGAAGCTTCCATGAGGGGCAGCCAGTTTTGCTCGCGGTTGACCCCTCGACTGGTGGGCACCAGGGAGCAATCGGCACTCGCGGAACCGGCGAGTTCTTGTCGTTGTTTTATGAGCATCAACCTGCCAATCTCCATGTTTTCTTTTCGTCCAAAGTCGAGGTCTAGATCATCAATGAACCCTTTCATGTTTCTATATCAACATTTCTTTTTACACCAAGTATAGCACGAACGAACAGCAAGTGCTGGTGGTTGTTTGCAAATGCCAATAATGCCATCATCTTCTCCATTGATTCCAGATTCTTCGTCCGCCCCGCTTGCTCCTTGACCGGACAATCCCAAAATTTCGTTTGTTGATAAAACCCATGATAACTTCACCTCATCTGGAACATTGTCAAGGTTAGGGCTAGGATTAAAACGGGTTCCGGGGAACACTTCCTAGGCCTGCACGACGCGGCTTTCCAATGCAACAGTGGAGCGTGGGGCCTGTTCCTGGCATTTGTTTGCGGTCTAGCGTCGAAGATCGAGGAAGCTGTTTATGATGAATCGCTAACTCCCGGGTTTCGACGATCTTTGGTGGTTGGGAAGCAATGGAGAGGAGAGAACGGAAAAGGAAACGGAAAATGAAGAAATTAACAAGGCCAAACAAACAAGCAAGAAAAAACACATCGCCAGTTAAGCGACGGATTTTCCCCATCCACGACTACCAACTAACAGGTGAGGGGCATCCAGCGACCCCCACCCTCTTCTAGACGTGTCACGCGTTTGAGACGTGTTGGCCAATGACTTCGCGACGAGTATGGAATAATGAAAATGCACCGAATTAGAGACGGTACGTGCCTTGTCACATTGAGACCTTGTGTTTTCCGGGAGACAAAAGCAGCACCGGCGTGGGCCCATCACGGATTCTGGGCTTCAATTCATCAACACGACAAGACTCTGCACCGACATTTTGAGACGTGGTCGGAGCGGTGAGATGGAGATGCACACGTACAGCACGCAAGATCTCGTTGCGATGCTTGGGATTCAGAGGAAACAAAGCATTCTTGGTGGCAGAGGGGTAGATGAGGGGTCATTATTGCTGAATCGTGACCGCCGTTGTGTGTTGGCTGTCACAGGCACAAACCTAGGGCACCAGCGCGGGGCATTTCAGAGTTCACACACAGATCCTCGGGCGGCTACACTACGAGCATACCCAGGAAGCAGCCGCGGGCTTGTAGGCGAAGGAGGGGAAGACTCATAGCTGATGAGGGGTCGAATTGATAGAGGGGACTGGAACAACGCCAACATGATAATGACAGTAGTAATGGGGGAGGACAACTGTTCTTCGGGCGCAGAGAAAGCTACTAACCGTTCAGTTTGACAATGGAGTAGAGGAAACTACAAGTAAAAGGGGTTGGCTCAGCTTGGAAAAGGAGGTTCCATTCCCGATTTTGTAGGGAGTACTTTGAACGATCTCAACACTGCATCGCTCAGATCTGATACATATACGCAAGCGGCGTGCCCAAGCCAAGCACGCCGCTGTGGTCGCCTTGTTCGCCACAATGGGGATTATGATGGTTCGCGCAAGCTCCGAGCGATGCTAGAATATCAATATCCAAAGATCACTGCTGGTCCCTTGCATATTGCAGAGTGCAGGGTCTCGTCTGTTGCTGGACGGAGGTGCGAAAGACACCAAAGGATGAATCCGTCTAGACAACAACGCCTACGCACCCCTCATCGTCCCCTGCCCGAGACGTATTCTTGGATTCTCTTGCGGTTGGTGGAATGACGAAGGGTTATTGTAGGCTCATTAGAAGGCTGTAGCCAATTACCTCGGCGGCTGACAATACAATGTTGCGTTGTCATCCATACAAAGCCTCACTCTGATGAGAAGGACTTGGGGGGTCGTAGTGCTACTAGTGTTGTTTGCTCTCGCGAGCACGACTATTTTGAGATGACGGCCTCGCACATCGAATCCAGCAGAAACACAAGCCACACCTTTCCTTATGTGTTGCTGCACGTCAGATGTAGAGTAGGGAGCAGGTAAATATAACCTTGGAGAGCAAGTGCAAGTGCAAGTGCAAGTGCTCCCGCCGTGGTGGTGCGTAGTCGTATTATTGGGCACTCGGTAGCCAAGGGCTCGCATGACATTTTTCACCAGAAAATAGATTGCGATGGAACACCAGCCCGTCTTCTCAGGTTTTCTACGGAGTACTTGGAAGTCAAGTCAATTCCAATGCCATCCGCCAGCACGGTCGACGGGACTTGACAAGAATTTTGGGTCCCCTCGGTATAAGGTGTATATAGACTTTTTTATACTTCTAAACACCGCGGATAGGAAACTTAGCTTAGAGTACGAAGCCAAGTAGTCGTATGGCGGTCGGGTTCAGGGTACTTTCGGGGAATGCGGGGCTGCTTGTTCAGCGTTCAGCGTTCAGCGTTCAGCGATCCGCGTTCATCGTCCGTCGCCCGCCGATGGTCACTCACTACTGATTACAGTTGAGATGACGGGATTTCCGGGCAGTGGTACGGAGTACAACGTACTCAGGCTCAGGCTCTGTTCCACTGAGGGTGAAGCAGCTGCTGCCGCGGAGAGAGACTGCTGGCGAGCCGGACGCTGACTGGAAGTGCGACGCAACCTCCACGTAGGCTGCGCTGCGCTGCTCTGAGTGCTCTCCCTCCCCTCAGGCTGGCTATGGATGAATCCACGATACGATGGGATCCCATGCCCCTCAGACGAGGGCCGATGGAGGGCATTCCCCGAGCTGGTCTTGCACCTCACCTCACCCTCACCCTCCCTCGGGTTCTTGCTTGATGTATTTATTATTTTGATCGGTTGTGGTGTTAGCGAGTCGTCTCCCGTTACCATCCGTTTGTTACGCGAGCCAGGGCGAAGAACTACAGGTACAGAATAATGCCATGCCTAGCTGAAGTCAAGTGCTTGACTGCGTCGGTGGAATGGTCGAAAGAGACTCACTCCGTACTGTAAGAGAAGAAATGATACGAGCGAACCCCTCTGACCCCTCGAACCCCCCCTACGGACTGCTGCTTTACCCGCCCGGATGCTGGTGATTTGGGCGCCCCGCCATCTTTTTTCGTCCCCCCTCGCCTACGCCTACGCCTCACGAGTGGCACTTGGAAAGCTGGGCACTGAGAGAGGGAGAGAGAGAGGGAGAGGGAGAGAGAGGGAGAGGGGGAGAGAGAGGGAGAGATG